CACATCTGTGAATTGGGGACGGTCACAGTCTCAGTGCCACAGGGCTGGTTAGATGATGTATGATAGCAGTTAGCAGAATGCTTGGGCCTCAGTGGCCCTCCACAAACAGTGGCTGCTCCTTCAGTTGCAGACAGAGGCGTGGCTCATGTATGCTCACCATCGATGCTTTACCCACTCTCCTGCATGGAGGATGGGCAGGGCCACCTTCCCAGGCACTCAGCACGACAGGCAGCACTAGCCCAGCATGTCAGAGAGAAGAGGGTCCGAGCGGAGTCAGCACGTGTCACCTCCAGATGAGAGAGAGAAATCAAGGCCACCAGCCCTTGGGATCCTTACCAACCCCCCGGCTCCTTGGAGACGTTGTGGATGAGGGCGCCACGGCAGAAGCTCAGCTCATCACTGCGCTTGGCTTTGTAGTCATACAGAGCTTTCACCGTTCTCTGAGGCTTTCAGGGAAAACAGGAAGGAGCAGGTCAGGCAGGACAGGGGCCCAGAAGCAGCATTGCTGGGGCATTTTCTTGTCTTTTAGGAGCTGGAGACAGCAGAGGTCAGGCTTCCAGAACCATCTGCTGGTGAGGGGGACTGCAGAGGGGCCCTCACTCAGAAGTCCCCAGGGGAAGGAGGTGATGAGCTGCCTGGCCTGGTCAGCCAAGGGTACCTGGAGAGAGAGAACTGCTCAAGTCCCTCATCAAAGAAAAGATTTGCCCTTCACGGGGAGCCACAACCACAACCCATGCAGTCCTCAGAGGCTGCTGTCCTCAGCTCCCCCAGAGCTTCAAGGGTAGCTCCAAGTCCTGGCTGCCCTGGAACCTCGCCACTGTTCTGACCTGGGTCCGTGGTCTGCTCCATGAGACCCTGCATTCGAATGGCAAGAACAGCTCAAGTGCTCCACCATGAAATCCAGTACAGGTGGGCTCTGGGCGGGCAGGGCAAGGTAATTCCCAGGGTACAACCTCAGCACATTTGCCTGCTGCTGGGCAGGCACACACCACATCAGAACACACACCCACAGGGCAAGAAAAGATTCTCGGAAGCCTCCCAAATCATCAAACCACGTGCATCAGTGGCTTCTCTGTCCTCCTGCCCAAAGGAAATGGGAATAGGAATTCAAGAGGAGTCAAGAAAACCACTCCCCAGACACAAGAGTCGTCCTCACAAGAAGAGGACTCACCTCAGCAGCCTGCCTCGGTCCAGACTCCAGCTCCACATCACAGCTGTCCTCAGCCATTATTTGACCTCTGTCTACCTAAATCTCCTCACCTGTACCATAGGTACCAAAACAGGACCATGTTTGTGAAGTCATAGGAGGACTAATTTGGCTAATGATGGCCACATGCTCAGAGCAGTGCCAGTTGTGTGGTCATTAGCACATGGTACCTAGTGTCACTGGTCTGCCGTTTCCAGTGCTAAAAGCTGAAGGGAGAAATGCAATTCCTAGCACCTTGTGCAGGAATAGTATTAAGCAAAAGAGCAAAAACTAAAACTGACCCAAATGGCCATTGGTACAGAAAGAGCTAAGCTAGCAAAATAACCCAAATATTCCTCAGCATTAAAACCATGTCAGGAAAAAAAAACAAAAAACATGTCAGTACCCCATCTACACACCTCGTCTGAATCCCCCAACCTCCCAGGTTTGACCAAATAGCCATGAGGATTCTCAGTTAGGAGGACCACAGGGACAAAGCAGCAAGCAACAAAGTCTAACAAAAATGACAGGTGTGGGGGATGTGAGGACAGCAGAGAAGGCAGACCCTGAAACGCGCCACCTGCTCCATAGAGGTGGCGAGGCCGTGGCCAGTCTCTTCCTTTTCTTCAGTGTGGTCTTTTAGTTTGCTGCTGTACTTTTCTAAATAACAGTAATAATTTTGCTTGGAGGCACTCAATCTAGCCTGGCAGCTAAACAGGAACTCAGCATACACTTGTGTTCTAGGGACCACTTCAATTGTGCAGGAAGGGTTTCTTCTACAGCTTGGCTTAGGTACCATAGTTTTTGTATCAGTAGATTTCGCATATAACATTCCAACTTCGAGCTTATCCTGGGAGCTCATAAGACTGGGCCTGTCCTCTCAAGAACTACACCAGCTAAGGACATCTACCCTTGAGGTGGAGGGGTGATCCTCAGGTGACCAGGAGCTGACATAGGGCCAAATGCCAGCTGCCACTTATCAGCAGACTTTCACTGTTTTTGTCCTTGTCTTGGCCAAATTGAGAGACAGAAATACTGCTCCTGCCTGGGTGGCTCTGCACATCCGTGCTACCCGCCTAACCTTCAGGGCCATCTGAGTTGGCAGCCCTGTTCTATGAAATTATATTAGAAGTAAGGGAGAGAAACCAAAGCCCCACAAAATAAGCTGCAGCTACACCACCACCCCAAGGAGAAGGACACCCAGCCTGCCTAGTGCTCTCCTCAAGGGCCCAGCTAAGTCTGCAGACCTCTACCCAGGAAGGGAGGTGACCTTGCTCAGCGCCCAGGTATTCCTCACTGCTAACAAGATTCCGCTGCTAGCAAATGCCCTTCCCATGTGTTTTGTAATGCATTTCTTGCTGAAGATTTGCACTGGCCAAGGATTATAAATTTTTAAAAACCTAGTCTCTGTATTTCAACAGAGTCCACCAGCAAGGCCCCTTGCTAAGCGAGTGTTTTATAGTAATTGTGGGCCAGACAAAAAATATGCTGCAGACTAAATTGAAAAGAAAGCCACAGTGAGGAGGAGCGGTGAGCTAAAAGCAAAATCCATCCTGCGCATGGAACTCCTTGGCAGAGGCAGGGTGGGAATCTGAGATAGCGTTTGCATTGTGACGAGATCCGCGAACCAAACAGATTTGAACACCACGGGCTCAGACAGCAAGTGAAACATCTTTGGAAGACTTTTAATTGTAAGCCATTTGACCCAATACTGGCTCACGCATCTGAGAATCTCAGCAAAACACAGCTGCATTTGGATGGAATTCTATTAAACTTTTCCCAGAAAATGTATTTGCTATAAGGGGCCAGGGAGACAGCTCAGTAGAATAAGCACTTACCTGGCAAGCGCTATAATTGCCAATCATTTCTTCTTTTCAAAAAAATTACTTTGAAGGTTGGGTGTGGTGGCACATGCCTGGAATGCCAGCACTTGGAGGGTGAGGCAGGAGGATTGCCATGAGTTCAAGGCCAACTTGGGCTACATAGTGAGTTTGAGGACAGCCTGGACTATGTGGCAAGACCCTAGCTCAAAAAACAAAGCCAAACAAAACAAAATTTGTGGCAACTGCACTGTCAGTGTCATGGGGACAGAGGCCTGGAATCCACATTAATCTAGTGAAATAAGGATCAGCACCGTACCATGGAAGGGTTGATCTCACTCGGATCCACATACATCCTGCTCACATCGTAGAGGGAGTTTATGTCTCTTTCCTGAAAAAAACAATAGAAAGAGGTAAATTCAGCAGCCCTCCTCACCCTGAACAGCCCCGGAACCAGCACGGCTACAGGCCTCTTTCTGGTTCCCCATCCTTTGATACAAGGCCTGAAAGTCACAAATTTTCTGTGGCCAACAGACAGGCAGAAGGAAGCAATAAAGACGTTTTCCCCAATTTGGAAATCCCCCAAATCAGAAAGGCCCCTGTGCTGGTACTGCTGTTCTCCCGGAGGATACAAATCCAAAGCTCCCCCTGCATCCCAGAGTGAGCGCACAGCTTGCAAGAGCCACCCGTGTGCCTCTCCTGCCGACTCCACATTAAGGGACAGCACACAGGAGCTTGCAATGGGCCAGCAAATCACTGTCACTGAAGTTGGCACCAAAACTGGCAAGTGCTGCCCAGCAGGGCCTGTCTCCAGAGAGCTGTTGACATGATCACCAGCATCCTGCTGCTGAGCCCCTTCTCTGGCCTCTGACCTTGTGCCCCTCACTCCTCTCCCCTGCCTTCCTGTGTCCCTTCAGGCCACACCAGGCCACTCCCTCCACAGCCAGCCCCTCCTCCCTCCTCCAGGCTGCTAACCTTTCTGTCCTCTAAAGGTGGCCTCTGTTGACCACCCCAACGCACTGTGGCACCCACTGAGCTCATACCACCCAGTCCTGTGGACTTCACTACAGTCCCTGCTGCCTGACAATCCCCACTATGTCACTGTGCATTCTCTCTCCTGCTTGGGCCCTGAATTTGCCAAGGCACACAAGCACATATATGCTCGTGTATAAGGTCGAGGCCCAACAAATCTCTTTTCAGTAAATGAGTGAATCCATCTGATAGGCAGTAAGATACAGTAACTGTATCAGGTGTCCTCCTCTAATAGGCAGAATAAAAGCCAGTGCCCTAAGGGGTCTAGCAGGCCCTACGTGATCCAGCCCCCTCTGTACCTACAATCCTACTTCCTTTCTTTACCACTCAGGATCACTTTATTCCAGCCATTTCAGCTTCCTGTTGGGTCCCTAGGCAGACTGCATCTCACCTCAAGACCATTGCTCCTGCTGTCCTGTCTTCCTCTAGTTGGCTACAGGGCTCAGTCAGTGAGATCTTCCCACACCTCTTGAAAACTGCAACCCTTTCCCCATCATCCTGGATCCACTCACTCTCCTTCCCAGATTTTTCTCCTCGGCATTCATTGCCACCTGCCACTTGCTGTGCAGTATTTTATTTACTGTCTATTTGCCCCAAGCCAGACTGAGAGCAGCATGCAAGCAGGATGTGTCCACTGCACCTTCCTTTGCATCCCCCCAGGACCTAGAGCGGTACCAGATGCACATCAAGTACTCAACAAAGGTTGCCAAGGCGGGAGCCAAGCCAGGGGCTCAGAACCACCTACCATGCTGTAGCGCTCCAGGAGCTCAGGAGTCACAGGGTAGCGCAGCCGCATCTTCCGGTAGAGGGTGTGCTTCTCGTAGTAGCTGACGAGCTCCACCAGGCTCTCAAAGTAGGCAGACGTACCCAGCACGAAGTGGTGGCCATCCCGGTTAATGCGACAGTGCTTCACCTTGCCCTTGGCCCTGGAGGGGAACCACATCAGGTGACATGCTGACATGCTAATGGCCATGGGATGGCTACGTAAGCTCTGCCAGACACAACCTAGTCACTCCTCCTCAGGGAGCAGGGGGATAAATGCAGTGCCGCCCTCTCCTGGAACACAGAACAGCGTTTAAAAAACTGCTCTTTCTGGAAACACGTTAGGCAGCTAGAACAGGTTGGCAAATGATGGCCCTGGGCCATATCTGGCTCACTGTGTGTGTTTATAAATAAAATTGTATTGAAACAGCCACCCTTCATTGGTTTTACAGAGTGGCCACTTTTTTTTTTGTATTTTAGGGAAAGGTCAACAGGGTGTTCAGGGTCTCATTACTAGATCAGACTTGTAGTGATCTGCCTGTTTACAGCCTCTCAAGAGCTGGGATTACAGGTGTGTGCCACCGCGCCCAGTCTCAATTGCTGTCTCAGTGCAGCCTAGGAGTGGGGCCAGCAAGACAGGGCCAGGGATCGAACCCCCGGCCCCTGTGCCTATTTGTAGATGCTTTAATCTGCTGAGCTATTTGGCTGGCTTTGAAAAAAAACAGTCATTTTGAAAGAAGAGGTAGGACAAAAAAAAAGGAATACTCTTACGTTGTCACCATGAAGGTACATTAACAGTTTAAGGTGATGGATATGCCAATTAACCAGCGCTAATCCCAACCCAATGTATAAATGAATCAAAACATCACACTGTAATTCATAAATATGTATCCATTTAAACATTTTTTTAAGAACTAAAGAAACTTGGCCAATGCAAAGAAGACATGGCCCAAAAGATGATAGAACCAACATACAAACTGACCAACTTGGAGGTGGGAGAAAAAAAATACAAAATTGGAAGAGCTCACCAAAATGGTTAAAAAGAGCTCTGACAAATATAACCAGACTCCAAGGAAAAGTGCCAGAGGGAAATACCGAAGATAAAAAGTAGAGAATTTGTGAATTGTAAAAATGAGAACATAGGGTTTCTGAACTCAACGACAAAATGGAAAATCATGATAAATTACTCAGATAAGTCTTAAAAAGATAAAACAAAAATTTCTCCAGCAGATACTAAATGACAGTAGAAAGACTCAGGTAAGGATAATCAGAAATTAGAAGATAATATAAAAAATAAAAATTCTGTGTATAGAAGTAACAAAATGTCCCAAGTATGAGAAAACATCTCAACATATAGGTAAGTGAGGCTTATAGAACACCAGTTAACTGTGATTACCAAAAAAAAAAAAAAAAAGCTAACGACAACACATCATACTCAAAACCCAAGATGTGCAACAACAACAAAAATCAGAATCTTTGTTTTGTTTTGCTCCATTTTGCTCAGGTTCTAGCCAGGTAGTGCAGGCTGGCCTTGAACACTTGGTGGTCCTCCTGCCTCACTCTCCCAAGTGCTGGGGGTACAGACATGTGCCACCACACTCAGCAAGGACAGAATATTAAAAGCTGTCAAAGAAAAGTAGAACAGTATATGAAGTCAACTGATCAAAACTACAGCACACTCATCAGCACAAATTTTGAACGCTAGAAGAGCTTGGTGTGAAGTGCTTCCAGCTCTAAAATATGCAACTTCTGATTAACAGCATGCTAAAGTATCTTTCAAAATTTATGCAGAAATAAGGACATTCCATGACAAGAACTGAAGAGATGTATGAATGCTAAAGCAGGACTCAAGGGAAAAAAACGTTAGGAATACCCTAGACAGAAACAGTGAAGCCAACAAAGAAAACAATCACATGGAATAAATGTATCAAGCAAGGCATATAGCTTCTAAAAAGTATGGGAGCCATCAACACAATGACAGGAATAAATATTCAGTTACAACTCCCCATGTAAAAGGCCTCACCTCCCCCCAAAAAAAGACACAGACTGGCAGACGTGTCAGAGACAGAATCCAACAGTCTGCTGCATTCAGGAAACTCATCCAGTCCAAAAAGAAGTTCATCAACTAAGAATCAAACAGGCTTACACCCAGCCTTTGCTTGTGCTTCTGCAAACCTTTCCTCCCCACTATGCCTCAGTTTCCCCCTTGGAGAAGCGCAGACAGTGCAAATGCCACAGAGCTGATGAAAGTGACAGGCACTGGCACTGAGCACCACTGGGTGTGGCTGGAACATACCTGTGCAGGCTGCTTTGGCCACCACTGCTGTTGTCAGACTGCTGATGCTCAAAGCCCGCCCCCGAGCTCGCTCTTCTCCTTCCCACACTGCCCTGCACCTATGTGGCCCCGGTGCCTACCTGAAGGTGATGGCGTAGGAGTCCTCCAGCCCGTCCTGCTTCCTTTCGCGCTTCCGGATGAGAAAGGCTCCATCTCGAGGAATCCGCATCAGCATGTCCTCCGCCTCCCCGCGGCTCAGCCCGTCATAGTACCACCTGCACCCAGGAAGGAAGACAGCCAGGTGAGCGCCCTCAAGGCCATCAGGAGCCACCGCAGGGATAGACCCGTGGGCTCCAGGGACAACTAGGATGTGGCCCTGGAAACAGCCACAGGAGTCACACTGGGGACCTGCCTGGCCATGACCACCTGCAGAGATGGTGGTGTCTGAAAAGAAGCCTGGAGACCAGGTGGGCCTGGGCAGAGTACAGAGTAAGTCCACTTGTCCTCACCCCTCACAGGCTACCTCCGAGGGGGCCTGCACCCATCTCTGGGAAAACCAAGGTGAACATACACAGGTTTAAAAATAGCACTTTTTTGTTGCTGTTAGTGAAAGATGCAAGATAGCACATTAACAATCCATACGAAAATATATGAAACAAAGTTGCTCTGAGTCATTTAGCTGTCTTCAAAATACTAACTATAGCCCAGGAGTGGTGGTGCATGCCTATAACCCAGGGCTTGGGAGGGTGTGGCCGGAGGCTCACCATGGGTTGGAGGCCAGCCTGGGCTACATAGTGAGACCTTGTCTCCCAAAAAACCCCAAAAACAAAAAATAAATTTTAGTTGAAAAATGATTTCATTTCCAAACTACTGTGACCGTCTACCAAGCAAAACCTGATGCTCAGGGCTGGGGAGATGGCTCAGTGGAATAAGCGCTTCCCTGGCAAGCGCAAGGGCCTGAGTTCAATCCCTGGTTCAGCAAAAAAAACCACTTGATGCTTGCTTCACTGCACAAAGAAATGAAGGGGACACACTTGCCACCATTTTTTCCCTTATTCTCTGTCAAACAGGAAGCAGCTCAGAGAAGCAGAAAGGTAGCACCGGGCCAATGCTAAACTCTGAACATGAAAGCCTGAGACTGTGGGACTGTGAATACAAAGCCACAGGGCAGGAGAAGAAGAGCAGAGAGAAGGGAGGAGACAGGCCAGTGAGGCTGATGGCAGCAAGAAGCTGGCCCGGGGTCTCCTGGGGGCTCTAAGGCTTCGGTGGGCCAGGGTCAGAGAAAGAGGGCCGGGTATGTGACCCTATGGGTGTCCACCTCCCACCCAGCCCGGGACCTACGGCTTGGACTCATGCGGGTTGGGGTTGGGCACAGGGTCGGTGAGCCGCAGCTCAAACTCGGCACAGCGCAGGTGTGACTCGCGGTAGTGCTGGATGAGGTCGTAGATGCTGCTGAACTTGAGGTTGTCGGTCAGGTAGTACTTCATGGCCCCATTCTCCACAGCGGAGCGGATCAGGCAGTGCTGCACGCGGCCCGACCGCCTGCAGGACAGGGCTGTCACCGGGGTGGAAGCTGGGCATGCCCAGTGGACACCGCCCCGCCTGCTACCCACCCCGCAGCAGGCTCCTGGACGGGAGGGTTACCAGAAGGACAGGGTGTAGGCGTTTGGGTGGCTCTCGCTCTCCCGCACCAGGAAGGTGCCGTCCTTGGCACCCGCCTCGGCACAGTACTCCTGCAGCAGCCTCTCCGCACTCGTCCTCTTCTCCATCTTCTTGTGGAACCATTTCTCCCCCAAGTGCAGCTCCATGGGTGGGAGGTCCTGGGTCATGACGACCAAGGGGGCTCTGAGAGCTCCGCCGCCTCCCCTGCCTGCCACCTTCCCTGGACAGCGACTGCTGTGGGGGCCTCCTGGAGTCCTGCGACTCCCTGCCCTCCATGGGGCCATGGGTCCCCAAGAGAGGTCTCTTCTAGCCTGCTGTGACACTGAAGATGGCCAGTGACTGGAGGGGACAGGGCAGGAAAGCCAGGCCCCAGGGCAGGCGCTGGGGTGGAGAGCGCATCCATATAACCTGTCCTCCCAGGGCGCACAGCCCACACTCTCAGGCCAGTTGGCCTTGCAGGAAAGGGCCTTGAATCTTATTGGCTAGGCACCAGGAACAGGCAGCCAATCAGAGAAGGGCCAGCCAGGCCCTGGTACCCAAAGAGACAGCTGTTAGGGCTGAGATCCCCACACCAGCCAGCCTCAGGACAGAAGCCACACAGGTCTCCACCCAGGACAGGCCCAGCTCACCAGGCAGGAGCAGCTGGTCTCCCCCTACCTGGGCCAGTTCCTCCTCCACACCCTGCTCAATGTCGTCGCTGAAGGACAGCTTGGCGTCCGCAATGGCGCAGTAGTGCCGAGTCCACTTCTAGAGAACAAAGCGGGCATCAGCCTCCCCCAAGCTCAGCCACGCCAACTCGGGCAGGGGACCCCGCAGCGCATCACCCCAACATGCACTGGGGACTCCCCGCTCCAACTTCATGCACTTAGCGTGATTTCATGAATTCGTTCCTCTTTGAGACATTTCAAAAACATTTAATTGCTGGCTTGTTGTGTCATTTCAGAACTTGTGGAATCAGTAGGTAGGAGCAGACGTGACTTAACTAACCCCTACCGTTCACTGCATAGTCAGTCTGTGGCCCTTTGGGGAGACTGGGGTTCTCTGGGGCACTCTCCTATTTTCTGTTTCATCTGGGTTTTTAATATTTTCTGGACTTTTCAGCCAGTTGATTCAGTCTTTCTGAAACATTTAATTATGACCTATTTACTTAAATGTTAACCATCGTGCATTATTTTATATATATATATATATTTTTTTAATTTTATTGGGGGGGCCAGCTCAGCCCACCAGGGTGCAGGGCTGGCTGGCATGTGGTGCTGGGGGATTGAACCGCGGTCCCTGTGCTCTGCTAAGCCTGTTCTAAGGTGCTTTAGACCACTGAGCCATCTCACCAGCCCCTATTTTATATTTTTTACCCAGGAGAGATATGTCAAAATGTACTCAGATGGATTAGCACGCTGGGCTAAGCGGCAGGAGAAGGCTGGAGAGCGTGGCGCGCCTTTCTCGCCTCAGAAGCTAAGATTTCTGTGGAGCTCGACCAGACTGGCCGCCACCAGCGAGCTGGGACAGCTAAATGCATGTGGCACGCTGGACCCGAGAAACACGAGCAGAGTGGTACAACAGCAACAAGGTCTGTGAATCGGCTCAGGGGAGTGCGCCACCGATAGCCTCGTGAGGATGGGGATTCTGCTGTGGTTCTGTAGGACGCTTCCTTGGGGAAGCGCGGGGCAGCCTGCGTGGACTCTTCCGGACCACTGTGTGGGTGTGAGTGCCCACTATGGTGCATATGAAGCTATTTCAAAGTAAAACCTTAAGAATGCAGAAGAGAAAGGTCAGGATGAACATGGATCCACTGGGCTCCGCGGCTGCGCCGGGGGCTCTCAGGGCCTGCAGCAGGGTCTCAGGGGCCGGGAGGTCCGCACCCCAGCAGGTGAGGGGACGAGAGCCGACCCACCTGGTCGATGGAGTCCCACATGTACAGCTCCCCCTGCTGCTTGTGCTCGTCTTTCTTGTCCTCCATGTTCACATCCACGTCACCTCGGGGGCCCAGCTTCTTATGCTAAGGAAAAAAACGTACACACCACTCTTGAAACCAACTTTCAGGGTCTTCAAGCCAGCAAAAATACACACCCATCGGCCTGCCCACAGCATCCTCCGGGCTTTGCGCTCCGCACCTTCCCATGGCTGCTGCCCTCCCTCTGCCCGGCTCCCCCCACACCACACTGGGCCTGCGCTGGCCCTCCTCCTCAGAGCAGCTCTCCCTCCTCCGTGGGGCAGCTCAGCACACCTTCCCGCCCCTGCT